TATGACACAAATGAGGTGGAACTTGGGTAAAAATGTAATCAGACTGCCAATTAAGCTAACTTGGGCCTTTTAAAATCTCAGTTATGCAAATCAGCCAAGTCTTCCCCTCACTTTGTGCCATTTAGACACATGTGCAATTTTGAGAGAGCTCTAACAATGTAGTTACCTGGAAGTGAGGAGGGGGCAGGTTGTGTCACAGTTTCATAGCTAAATGACTTCTCTAAGCCTCAGGGAAGCACAGAAGGGGCCAGAGGTAACCTCCTGCAGCAGGAAATGGGAGCTTCATCCTGCTCTCCTTGCCAACCTCCTGTCCCGTTTCCTCCAGCAGATATCTCCATTCCAATCTCCCCTGCCACTTGGGCCCACTCATTATCATAGATCAAGTGTTCAGAGAAAACTGCACTAACTAGGCATAGGCAGAGGGAGCCTGGCCAAGTCACTAAGTGGACTGCATGAAAAAAGAACAACAACACAACAGCAACAAAGAGACATGTTTTACATAAGATTTTGCACACACCCACACACACATCCTTTTAGTTTACTTAGCATATAGCCATGATAATTACTTAGCCAAATCAATGAAATCATTCAAAACTAGAGTGGCACAGAATTTCTAGTTGCAAATGATTCGTTAGGGCTAGGCATGATAAAGAAGGGTGAGGAAATGGACTGCATAATTGCTTCAGTTCTCTGCTTCCCTTTGCATATGTTCGTTATTGAGAATCAATTCCAGTTTGAGAGGAGGCTTTAATTCCCAGTAAATGAATAGGAAGTGAGTAAGTAAACGTTCAGTATTTCCCTCGAATTATGTCTTGTAATGTAAGAAAACAGTGGCAAAAAGCCATCAACAGATGGTGTTTTCATTAGCCAAAGATTTATTTTTCCAAGCACTTTCATATTAATGAAGTAAGGTTGAAATTAGAGTCATCTTGTCAGTTCTAGTTCTGGGTTGATAAAATGTGCTGGCATTCGGCAAATTGCTAGGGGGTGGGCAGAGCGAAATAACCATTTGCTATGATGTTGTGATGGTAACCCAAGGTCTATAGTCTAATCAGACCCCACATTATATGTTCAGCCTTAATTTTTGTTTTCAGTGGCTTTACAGAAGCTGTGAGTCTCAGTTGTGAGCCATAAATGAGAAACACACGGCAGGGATTAGTCCTGCTCTACACGATGAATTATTTATAAGATATCAGTTTCATGACAAGTGTTGCAACAGGTTGCATGCATTTGTTAGGAAACATTCTCCCCTTGGAATCCCATGTTTGAAAGAAACCACATTACAGTTGAAACACAGGTTTCTAACATTATATATACTCTGAGTTCATCAATCCACACTATATTTACCTAATACATCGATAGAGTCATTTGTGATACATGGAATGTCCAGTGATCTAGGAATCTGGACCACTCTGTCTGAGTGCCTACTCTCTAACTTGAGCTGGAATTTTTGAACTAACTACAGCTCCATCATATTCACCTTATGGCTCAATTTTTGAAGAGGAGTCCAGACTTGTAGCCTCTACGTCATCATTATTGACATACTAACCCTGCACAGTTTGGCACTTGCTTCCAAAACTGTGCTGAAACTCCTTTATCAAAGGTCACCAGTGACCTCTAATTACCAAATTCAGCTACCTTTTATCAGGCCTCATATTTCTTGCCCTCTCTGCATATTTCAGAGTGACAAATCCTTTCTTGAAACACGTTTTTCTTGATTATCCTCTTAGCTTGACCCATATCTGCATTACCAACTGCTTTGCATATTGCAAGTCTCCTCCTGACCAGTGCCCCTGCTCCCAGGTCTTCTTGTTTTAGTCTGCCCCACATAGGTTGATCTCATAAATGCAGCCCTGATTATGTCATTATCTTGCTCAAAAGCCTTTGATAAACACCTACTGCTTTAAAAAAAAACAAGTACAGACTCCTCACCTAGACATTTAAGACCTTCATAACAGGGCCTCAATCTCCATTTCCAGCCTTGTGCCATATAATAGCCTTCATAGTACTAATAAAATACATATCAGTTTTAACTTAGTACCAGCACATACTGTAAAGCAATTATCCTCCAATTAAAGAAATATCAGGGACTTCCCTGGTGGTCCAGTGGCTGAGACTCCATGAGCCCAATGCAGGAGGCTAGAGTTCAGTCTCTGGTTGGGGAACTAAGATCCCACATGCCTGCAGCGAAGAATTTGTGTCCTGCAGTAAGACCCGGTGCAGCCAAATAAACAAATAAAAATAAATATATAAAAAATATCACCCCCCCCCAAATTTAACATAGTAATATCCATTATAAGGCTTTAGAAAATATTAACTACTTCAAAGTAAGTCCTAGGGCCCATATTTAAAACTTAGTTGTCATGAATGTCCATTGATTCGTTCTTTCAATTCCTTCATGCAGTATATGTGGACTATATGCCCCTCAGGCAGAAGGGTTGCAACTAAGACCAAATCAGACATAACTCCCCTTCAGGGAGATGAAATTACACTTTAGAGCAGAAGATGGACAATAAACAAGCACCAACAGCTATCTAAGTATAAATTATGATAAGTACCATGAATAAATAAATCCATCACCATCCAGTTGAAAATAATTTGAGTGCACAGGTCTGGGTGAAAGTCTCAGGATGGACAATTATGGGGGATCTATGTTCTGATGTTAGGGGCCTCGACTTCAGTGCTGACAGAGGAAATCAACAGGCCCCCAATATGGGCCATAAGAATGCTTTTTACATAGAAAACATTGCCCTTCTATAAAAACACTCTAAAGTACTTGGTGAAATTAATCACCTTTTTTTAAAAAAAAACTTTTTTTTTATATTAGAGTACAGCCCATTAACAATGTTGTGATAGTTTCAGATGTCCAGCAGAGTGACTCAGCCATACATATACATGTATCCTTTCTCCCCCAAATTCCCCTTCCATCCAGGCTGCCACATGACATTGAGCAGAGTTCCCTGTGCTATACAGTAGGACCTTGTTGCTTATCCATTTAATATATAGAAGCGTGTACCTGTGCATCCCAAACTCCCTAACTATCCCTTCCCTTTCCCCTTTCCCCTTGGGAAGCATAAGTTCGTTCTCTAAGTCTGTGAGTCTCTGTTTTGTAAATGAGTTCATTTGTATCTTTTTTTCTTTTTTTAGATTTCATGTGTAAGGATATCATATAATATTTCTCCTTCTCTAAGACCCATCTTAATTTCATCTCCTCTTTATCTCTGAAATCAAACCACCTTGAATAGAGTGGGTGCTCAATACCTTCTATATTAAATACAAATGAAATACCTTTTGTATTAAGTCTCTGAACTGCCATCTCTTTCCTTTGTCCTGACATCTTCTTTGCTTAGAACTCACATCCAAATCAACAATTGTGGGCCTTCGTGTTTTCCTTTGTCTCTCTTCCTTTTTCCTTGCTCAGGGGAAGACCACACATTGAGATGGTGGTGGAGTTAAGGAAGGCCAGGAGAGACACAGTGCCCAAGCCAAGAAAAATGGAACAAATGGTGAAAACTCACTCCCATGGGAATAAAGCCAGAGAACCCAAGAGAGATCTGGCAAGAAGCAGGGATTAAGCTGATCCTCGTAATCCAGATTGAGGACAAGTGAGATCAGATTACCTGTCCTAGCAATATATATATATCCATGGGAATACTCACCTGGGATAGATTCGTGGGACAGTGCCAAGGATACTAAGGAACCACAGCTACCTAGCAAAGAAGAAAGGGGCCAAGTATACGAGTCCTCTCCTCTTTTTCCCACTCTTCCTTGCCCCCTCTTCCCTGCCCCTGCCCAAAACATGAACTTTGAACAACTATGAACTGTAGGAATGATGAAGACAGCAATGAAGCAATGGGCACAACCAAGGGAAGGCATGCTATGCTATCAGAATAAAGGCCCAGAAGTTGGGGTATTACATTTGGAGCAGACTTTGTTGGGATGGTGAGTGAGACAGGAATGGTTATTGGGGCAGGTCCTGGAAGAGAAGCAGCCACCAGAGCTGAAGACTTGAAAATGAAGAGTAATTTAAAAAAATCCTATTATTAATCTAGAGTGAATAACATTCTGTTTTTGTTTTCCCACAGGAGGAATGGAAGAGAGTAGCATGCTCAACTGAAAATATGCTAGGAGGTCTTAGTACTGCTGTAACCATGTTGTAATAAACAGATCTGCAAAGAATCTATGTCCCAATAAATGATAGTAAGCAATGAATGTCCTGTCTTGATATAGCCAGGCTTTGCAGTTCGAAGTCTGGCATTTCTGTAGGCTATTGCTTAGTGCCAAAAGAGGGAAGCTGTGAGATAGAAAGCTAGATTCTGATGAATTTCACACTTAAAATACCATCTTTTTTTTTTCTGAAAGAACCTACAAAAGACAAAGACAAAATAAGTATCATGAAATACTGAGGCAAAACTGTATCTGATGACTAGAGACCTGGGTTCCAGTCTTAGCTTTGCCACATGCTAATTTTATGACTGGGCAAAGCACTTTAACCCCGCTCTGCAGATCATTTCTCTCATCTGTAAAATGCTGACATGATTATTAAATGATATGTTTGAAATTGCCTGGGTTAGTGTCTGGCAAGTAGTAATTATTCAATAAGTTATAGTTTTCTTAGTCAACTTACCTGTAAAAAAGAGAATAAAACCTGTTTTCCCTATGTCACAGGATTACTATGAGGGCAAAATGAGATATTGACTCTGAGATACTTTCAAAAGTTTAAAAATATTATAGAGAACATAAAGTTGCTTTAAAGTCATTAAATTCCTACATCCTCCAAGTCATGAATGTCATTTTTCCCCAGAAATGGCAATCTGGAGCAAAGGTACAGCATTATTAATCAGCACCTAGAACAATGCTTGGCCCATATGCAATGAATCTTTGAAATAATTGTTGACTGACTGATAACCACATGATACTGAGTCTCAAACTCATTGAACATTTCTTCTTTCTCCCCCCTCTTCCATGCTTCTCTCTGGCTTCATATTTGGCAATGGCAGCAAACTCTGGAGATGAACCTCACCAACCTGGTTAAGCGCAACAGTGAACTAGAAAATCAAATGGCCAAGCTAATACAGATCTGCCAGCAGGTTGAGGTACGTAACAGAAACTTTTGTCATTCTTTCAAAGAACTGGGATCCAGTGATCCTTTTGAGGGGATTTGTTTTGCCAGAGTATGACTCAGTCATTTGGAGTGAAAGGCTTAATGAGAATTCTTTTTTTTTTTTTAATATTTAAATTTTTTTTCTTTTTTTTTTTTATTAGTTGGAGGCTAATTACTTTACAATATTGTAGTGGGTTTTGTCATACATTGACATGAATCAGCCATGGATTTACATGTGTTCCCCATCCCGATCCCCCCTCCTACCTCCCTCTCCGCCCGATCCCTCTGGGTCTTCCCAGTGCACCAGGTCCGAGCACTTGTCTCATGCATCCAACTTGAGCTGGTGATCTGTTTCACCCTAGATAATATACATGTTTCGTTGCTGTTCTCTCTAAACATCCCACCCTCGCCTTCTCCCACAGAGTCCAAAAGTCTGTTCTATTAATGAGAATTCTAAGAAATCTAATTCCTTCAAGATGCATGTTCTAAGAAAAGTGGCAGATAGCTATTGTTTAAAGGATAATAATAAGTGGTAGTGGTGAGTGGAGGGGAAGACATCAGCCCAAGGGGCAGTGCTGTCTCCTCTTCCAATAGCAGGTGGTATGAGAATCCAACATGAAGTGTGTTTCTTTCTTTATCAGACTAGACATCATAGCTCCTTAAAGAGATTGCTGGAGAGTAAGAAAAGTTGGGAACCTGAGGTCCTAGGGGATAGAGTGAGGTTTGTTCAATGCAATATTATTTCTGTAAAAAATATGATTAGAATTGCTTCTCTTCTTCCTAGTCCCTTCTCCCTTCTTTTTCATACACCTTACCTGGTCCTCACTCATCACCTTTCCACTTCTTCTTGTCATCATCAGATGGGATCTATGTTAAAGTTATCTGTTTCCAAATGTGTTATCTACATCAAATCTCAGAACAAAGCTTATGAGAGGAGTTGACCTCTTCATAAGTGGACATGATAGAAGAAAGATGCTTTTTCTCTCTTTTTCTCAAGAGCCTGAAACTTCAGCCATAGCATTTGGTTTTGTGTTGATTTTCTTGATGAGGTGCTGGTAGAGCTTAAAGTGTAGACAGGGTTGGGTAAAATATTATAGGACTCCTTGTGGGCAGTGGTTGGGTAAAAATGTTTCTATTTATAACCTGATACTCTAGTTCTAGGGCTTCCCTTATAGCTCAAATGGTAAAGAATCTGTCTGCAATGCAAGAGACCTGGGTTCGATTCCTGGGTCAGGAAGATCCCTGGAGAAGGAAATGGCAACCCACTCCAGTATTCTTGCCTGGAGAATCCCATGAACAGAAGAGCCTGGCACACTACAGTCAATGGGGTTGTGAAGAGTTGGACACAACTTACTGACTAAAACCACCACCACCACTCTAGTTCTAGTCTTACTTATATCACAGAAAATGTAATGGTTCAAGTTTATTTTAAACAATAAAATAACTTTATTAATATCTCATCTCTTAATCCCCCCTGGGGATTCCTATTTAAAAGAATGTGGAGAACCTTCTTATGAAAGAATCAGAAAGGCAAATTCTTTGCCTTCTTATGAAAGGCAAAGAATCTTATATGAGTAACCACTCCTGATTGTTTGGATATCTTAAAGTACTGGGTTTCTTAAAGTAGGTTGTTCTTGTAGGATGAGCATACCATAGCAATTTAATCACTGCTGGGTGTTCCATTCGTGGAAGAGAGTGGTGGTGTATGTAGGGTACATAGGATACTGGTTAAACTCAGGTGCAAAATTGTGGAATGGGGTGGGGAATTTAGGAAGAAGTATAAGGAATGGAAAGAAAAAATACTGGAATGTAAGTTGGAAAATTGGGTTCTAAATGTGACTCTGTCATTAACTGGTAGTATGATCTTGGGTAAGTCATCTAGCCTTTCAACTTCAGTGTCCTTACCTATAAAATGAGGGATTTAACTGAATACATGACCTTCACTGTCTGTTCCAAAGGCATGATTCTGTGAATAGTTACTTTATTCTTTTCTTTTTCTCTTCAGTCTCATCCTTTCCAAGAGGGGAGAAGCAAAATAGAAGGCATTTTAGAATGGTTTTCAGCTAATCAGAATCCCTTTATGTTCCACTCTATCAAAGCTTCTGATTATGCCGTTAGATTACAGTGTAAGAAATCCACACTGGTGAAGAGACAAGGAAGTATTGTGAGCAGGCGACAAGAAAAGGAATCCCTTTGGTTTAGAATTTGCATGATTGAGGGTGGGGTAACAGCTCATAGTGAATAAAACATGGTTAGAAATTATAATTGCTTTCTCAGTCTCATCAAAAAGTTATTTAAGTAGAGAGCAAGTTGTAGTCAAATTAGCAAAGTAAGCGGTTTCTTTTCATTGCTTATTCACTTTAACACTGCTCTAACATCTTATTACACACCCCTCCCCCCACCTCCAGAAACTTAACCGCTCTGGCCAGCCTCACCCAAACAGCCCTGTTCTAACCTTTCCCAGCCCACTGTGCCAATCAAACCTGTATAATTCAGGGCCCTACTGTTTTCAAGCATTAAGGAGCTAGCCTCATAAAACAATACATCATTGTATAAATGGAGAAGGACTCATTCTGGCCCTCTAGGTTATAGGCAATGTTTTCACAGTGCCTTTCTGAAGCTAGTATTCCTGCTTGAGCCTTCAGGAGATGATGCTAGTGCCAAATGTAAGCAGAGTAGCTGGGAAGAGCAGCCCCATGGCAACCAGCAAAGGAGGTGTTTAAGAGGCTTCCTTAGGGATGCTTATAAAATCCTTGGCCACTGTCTGCTTTCACACACAAAAGGTCACCTTTTATTGATACTTACTTATGCATAGCATTGGGCTTCCCTGGTGGCTGAGACATGAAGAATCTGCCTGCAAATGCAGGAAATGCAGGTTTGATCCCAGGGTTGGGAAGATCCCCTGGGGAGGGCATGGCAACCCACTCCAGTATTCTTCCCTGGAGAGTCCCATGGACAGAGGAGCCTTGAAGGCTACAGTCCATGGGGTTTCAAAGAGTCCGAAATGACTGAGCGACTAACACTAACTATGCATAGCACTGTACCAGGTGCAAGGAAAACGGAAGAGACACAATATTTATCCTTTAAGGGCTTACATGTTATACAAGTCCACCCTAATGTAGATACACATGTGCAAGCAACACAGACAGTGGAGTTAAAATATTAACTGAGAATTGGGAAAGAATCTTGAGATAGATAGAACATTAAATGTCAAGAGTGAGAGTGTATCTTGGGAGTTAAGTCCACCATCTTTTCAGTTTAGGATTCTGTCTTTGGTGGGGGCCCTACAGGATGGCTTCTGGATGCCCATGGCTGTGCTCTATGACATCACCCCTTCTGAAAGGTTAGGGATGTGCCCTAACTTCCCCATAACAATACGGTGAATCCAGAGTCCTTATTATGTTCATTTGGCACAGAGCCTGTGTGTCCAAAAGACTTCAGGACAGCCCCCGGGATTAGAAAGGCAGTTAAAGAATGGATTTGAGACTTCATACATGCTTATAAGGCCTTCCCTCATAGCTCAGTTGGTAAATCATCTGCCTGCAATGCAGGAGACCCAGGTTCGATTCCTGGGTCGGGAAGATCCCCTGGAGAAGGAAATGGCAACCCACTCCAGTATTCTTGCCTGGAGAATCCCATGGACAGAGGAGCCTGACAGGCTACAGTGCATGGGATCGCAAGAGTCAGACATGACTTAGCGACTAAACCACCACCACCACCACATGCTTATAAATACTTTATAAAATGAAATAAATAGAAGAAGACTGTCTGTCATGGGAGCCAGAAAATGAGGGGTTATTTGACTTTTTTTTTCATTTTATCTAATGCAAATTTGTCTATCAGGAATGACTGTATTCACAGTGTAAAGCAAGCATTTCACTTCGGGCGGGAGTGGAGGATCCCAGCTAAGGCACTTCTGAGAAAACTGGAATAGGCTATTTTCCTGCCAGACCTGTTCCCCTTCCTGATTGTCTGCAAATATTTTTGTCACAGATTGACTTTTCATAAAAGAGCCATAAATACTACCTCCCCCTCCTGGTTCTTTCTCCCCATTCTCTATTCTCCTCAGAAAGTAAACAAAGCTGCAGTCTTCCTATTATTACAGAAACAGAGATTAGGATCACCACAGATTTGTTAGCTGAATTCTTTGGTAATGCAAGACTCTTAGAGTCACTGCCCAGCTTTTCAGAATTCCGTAGATAGGCAGTTGGAAAATATTTTCTGTTGGGGCTGAAGAACATGGGAAGGAGGGAGAGGCAGGCCCAAGACTCCTTTAATCTGGTTAAGGAAGGGAATGCTCTGACCTTGCTACTCTGGCCACTTGATCTCTATATATAGTTCTTTGTCCCATCTCATCAGGCATCTTTTGTTTACATTTCCAGAGGAAATCTCTGTTTAATGCATAGCCAAGGGAAAATATATACCAACAGATGAATATTTCCTCTTGGCTTCCAAGTCTACATGGTTTTGTGAATAAATAAGCATTCCTGAAAATACTGAGAGGAAGAAAAATGGTAAAATACTAATCAGTCAGGCAACGACATTTCTTAAGCAAACATGATGTACTCCATGTGGTAGGTCATTTGGGGGCTACAAAAAAAAATAAGTTGTTGATGACCTCCAGGAACTTTTATTCTAGCGAGGAATAACCCAGTACCTAGTGAGAAAGGGGAGTATTTGTAAAACAGCTTGCAGTATAGGGAGCACAGATGAATGTAGCATGACCCTCCCAGGTTTACTTATTTTATCTTATTGTTAAATTTTAGGGCATGGAGTGGATTAAAGCACTTTCCTGGCTATTCTGTGTGCCATCTGTTTTCTTCTCCTTCAGAAATGCTGCCGGACAATGGGTCTGTCCATCCCAGAATCTCCATGGGTAGATTGATTTCTTGCTGGCTCTTCTCAAACCATTTGAGGACCTCGGTGGCACAGCTCTTTAGCATTAACAGAAAGAAAAAAGAAAGGAGATGAGCTGGCTTCCCTTGATTTGCA